TATCAATATCTATTTTGCGAAAAAGCAATTTGCTACTAAGTACTTTTTCACAGTGTGATAAGGGGATTCATTTATCCCGAATTAAATATACAGCTTGTCAAATATTTGATCAGATTTATGTTAATTATTGTGCAATCAATGTGTAATACTTTTCACGCTAATTGTAATGTCAATATTTTTTTTATAAAAACAAAGTGTAAACTAAAAATACTACTTTCTCATAACACTTTCTATTAATTGATTTAACTATTCATTCATTATTTATGATTTGTGTCTAAATTTCGTAATGATTTTCATGTTAATTGCTTTATTAGGGCCTAAAATTAGTTATAATTTTAATGTCAATTTTTGCCAAAAAGTGTAATAATTTCTAAGTAGTGATTAATATTAATTCAAAAATATTTACATATTTATAAAATCTTCAAAATAAAAATATATCTAATATTCACTTGACATTGATATAAGTGTTTTTTATTTGAAACAAATTGAATAACAAATAAAATGCATAAGAAATATAATTTTCATACACTGTAATTTTAGCGTCTAGCTTGATTTTGTAAGTTTACGCATTTGACAATAAAATTTGCGTAAAGCAATGTATTATTTGTACTGCGCAGTTTATTTTAGATTATTAAGCAACTTTTTAAAACTATTATTTTTGTACGTTTATTATAAAATTATTAATTAATTTATAATCAATATTATTTGAATTGACCTTTTTAAATCAAATATTATCTTTCGGCAAACAAATCATAGCACATATAAGTTATAATTATTATTAAAGTAATTTTTCAAATAAATATTTTATTTATCTATATTATATTTAACTATGAACCCTTTATGAATCAAATATTTATTTGCGATAATATATCAAAACGAGCATTTAATATAATAACTATTATTGTGAAATGTTATATATCAAATATTTCATAAACTTTTAGTATAACTTTAATAATCACAATAAAAAAATTAATTATTTTTTTGATATGATACATTTTATATTGTAGGATATTAGATATATAAGAAAATATTAAATAAATATTTTTAAAATCAACTTAATTAATAATTTTATTAATTTAACAAAAATCTTTAATTAACTATGATTTTATTAAAATCTAAGAAATACTTATGTATAAATATTAAAAAACAATAAATCTATACACTATTCACAAAAATAGTTAGTTATATATTTTTGATATTTTAATATATATATGTCTATTTTATCGATTGTTTTAAAAATATATTAATGTTATTTTATAATGTATACTGTATGTATCAAAAGTAAACTTTCAACAACTGTTAAAATTGACCTTTGGTAAAATAGAATTTATTATTTCGAAAGTACTTAATAAAAGTATATTGATTATATAAATAGAAGAACTCATTAATTATTAATACGATTAATATAAGTGTTTATAAAATACATACAGAATTTTATTAGCGAACAGGTTCTCTAGAACACTTGTATTATTACAATTTATATACAAAAAATATATAAATTTACATCTCATATAAATTTTAAAAATGCAAAATTTTTCGTACTTTTTATTCAATTCAATACAAGTTGATATTTATTATAAACTGTAATTCAATGTTTTAATAACAATATTTCAGAAACTGTTATTTTATAAAAATAATTTTATTCGCTATAAATGTATAATAATTCAAAATCAAATATTATTAATGAAAATAGTGAATTACAGTTTGTAATAAATCTAAACTTGTAAAAATATAACTATGAATTGAAATAAAAAGTACGAAAAAAGTTGCATTTTTAAAATTATATCCCGTGTATAAAATTTTGGTTAATATCGACATGGATAAATCATATACTAGACAAAACCCTAACTATCCAGCTACAATTTAGTGAATATATGTATAAAATAAATTAAAAGGTATTGAAATAAATTAAAATCAAAGTAGCACTGCAATATTTTGTCATCCCTGTATTTGTGTAATTAATTATAATTTTACAGAAATACTACTGACGCCCGTGTAATCAATAGTCACTGTTCTGTGATATCCCTACAAACAGCCCGCCCTCCCATTGAATGCCATAACCCGGATCAAGAGTACATCAAATGTAACTCTAAGTGTTTGGAGTGGTGTTCACTGTTTAATCCGGACGGTACTACCCGGGACTTCATGTTTCAATGTGATGAGGGTTGTTTTTCATATATAGGTTTTATAGGGACATCAGTTTGACTAAAGTTTCGGTAGTCCTGGTATATGGAAAGCAATGGTTACGATGATTATTACCATGTTTATTAAATTACTTTAAAAATAATATTTGTATTATTAAATCATGTTTGAAATTAAACTTCCATTAAGTTTTATAACATAATAATATTATAATTTAAAAAGTTAGAATTTAAAACATTTTGTTTACATTGATTCATTTATTTAAAATAGTATTTTAACAGCTGTAGTAAAAAATTAATAATGCTTATTTTGCTATATAAAAATCAAAATAAATTTATTCTGGATCAAAAGACTCTAAAGATGTAATTATTTTAATTTTATGATTATTTTATAAAAACAAAATTAATTTATTAAATAATTTTTAAAAATGTCTTGCTGTAAAGAGCATTCAATAACTGTATTTTTTATTTAATTAATTAATAACTTGATACTTCATTTAGATACATTTTATTTTTATATTTAAACAATTATTTATTACAAGTAATTGTTTTAAACAGTACCAAAATATGTTTGTTATTAGTTTAAATATAAATTATACGGTTTAATACATAAGGTGCAAATAGCAGAAGGTTTATGGTACAATAAATTATTTTTAATTTAAATTTAATAATTAATAGTTACTGATTTTACATGAGACTATACTTTTCAAAAATTAATTTATAATTAACAGTTAGTCACATCGTTAATCAAAAATCGTGTAGTATAAGTGTTGATAAATGTAAGAATATTTGTGCTTGAGGTAAATTTTATAAATTGGGTAAGGGTGTTAATTTTTAATATATCATTTATGTTAATAATTAGCTAATTTTCATGTATGCAATATCAATAACTTCATGTTAGATATCATAGACTATAACAAAATATTTTCGATTTTTATATTCATTCTAGCTTTTAAATATTAATACATTTGGATTTTATCAGTGTTATAATTATTTTTAAGTTATAATATTAAAATATTTCAAAAAAATTAATTAAATTACACCCACAAAATATAAAAATATACAGTTAATCTTTGAAAAATTTATTATATTGATAATCATATTCCTAGATCATACAGTAATTACCTGTAAATAAAATTTTATAATTTATATAATATATTGTTTTACTGTTATATTTTTTTGTAAATTTGGTTTAATTAATAGTCTATCAACTTAATTCATATTTTATTTGTTTACAAATTTATAAATTAACATTTTAATTATTATTGTCCCAAAACTTTATTATCTTACGATATTTTCATAAACGTGTCGGGATAAAATAAAGTTTCCAAGGTGTGCGGGGTTAATTATCAAAATTCGTGTAGTAGGTTCATTGACAATTGTAGAGATACATGTACCCACGATTGTTTATGTATGGACGGTTAGTTTAATATTTTTTGTATTTATTTAATTAATAGACAAATTGATACTTCATTTAATTTATTAGTTCTAATAGACTGTAACAAAATATTTTTCCTATTATTTTAAATGTCAATTTTAAAGCTTAATAATTTACGGTATGTTTACGTCGAGGCGATATTTTTAAAATTTTATTTAATCATTACTGATTATACACGGACCTATAGTTTTCAAAAATAAATTTACATTTACCGTTTAAAAAATATTGATTTTAGAAATATAATATTTTTGATTTTTTTGCAAATCTTTTAGACTGTAAAATAACTTTTTTATATTATAGTTATTGATAATCTTATTTTAATTTATTTATGGGAATCAGATTTTATTGGATTGTAATTTTTATTAATAATTAATTTAATATTTAATAAGTTTGTCTTAGTTTTACAATTTTATAATAATTTTTTTAATTAAATCTAATTAACAATGATTATTTAATAAATGTTTTATAACTGTATTTATTTTGAGTAATTATTGAACTGAATTTAATAAATCACATACCGGTGACTTTATACTTATTGTACTTGTTGAAAACAATTTCATACAAACACTTCAAAAGTTGATTACCCAAAATCACATGATTCTATTTTGTGTACTCAGGTACAAACCTAAAATATTTTGTCAAAGTTCAGTTTAGAAATATTATAATTGACTTATATAATTCATTATCTATTTAATAATCAATATCATGTGCACAAGTACCAAACGTATCCTATGAACCTGGGTAATCAAAATATTTGCGGGCACTTTAGTAAACTGTAATAAATTTTTATAAGATTTATAATTAAGGAATAAAACTATTGTGTTGCATAACTTTGGACACATACTTAAATATATTCTATAGTAACCATATTAATATAAAATTTTTAAAATAATTTCAAGGTTAACAAGTGGATGGTGAACTTAAATTGTTTTTAAAATAGGATCTTGGATCAACGGATTAATAAAAGTGTGGTGGTCACATGCATTATAAACTAAACTACGTCACTTAGTGCAAAAATATTTTGTTTTTCTCGCAACATAAGATAGATATAAAACAATTAATCTGAACTTGACACCTCAAGTTTGAAGTGGTTGCATTAAAAAATGTTATCACTTTAATATGCCATTAATAAATAATTGTGATTAATTGATTAATTAATGAATGACCTGATAATTGTTTATTTTAAAAATGTATTTTTGTCGTACCTAATAACTTATCAAACAAAAACTTTGTGGCAAAAAGGATATATAAGAAAGCACAAGTTTGTGAAAGAGTTACCCAGTTAATTTGGTTTACAGCATTAAGGTAAGCTAATAAAAAATATTTTTATAAAAAGTTCCCGTTGTTTTATAAATTAATATTAAATACGGACTTAATTATAAAAATATTATTTTTACAGCTCTTGTAATACAATAACGAGAATGTTGTCGAAAATTTTGATCCTGGCCTTAGTCGCCGTCGCTCAATGCCTGCCATGTAATGACCATGATCATTATTAAAACTGACAATATTTTACCTATTATAATAATTAATATGCCTGTCTAGTGAATGACGAGGGTGCTGACAAACTTGTCGACCAATTGCTTGATGTTGTCAAGACCAAATACGGTGCCCAACTGGACCCACTTCACCTGAACGACTCAGTCGCCGCATTTAGCAAGAAAATCCTCGGTATCACCTTTCACGGTTAGTCAACAGTTTTTATTATTATAAAATTGTATATGTTAGAAATAAATATAAGAAAAACATTATATTTATTGTTAATCTATAAAATTTAATACGTATCTGAATAGTATAATCTTAACAAAAACTATTTGACAGATCTGTTTTGTAGCACCTGAAATGTTTACCTAATTTATATAGCATTTTGCAATATAATTATCAACTAAATGCTATACAAATAAAACATTTCAATTTCTATTATAGATGTGACAGGAAAAATATATAGTAAAAACAATAATTGCAAATTAATCAATCAAAATATGAGATTAAAAATAGCTAAAATCATTAATTCTATATTTTATCAATTAATTTTTTAAAACTTACTATTTAAAACAAAAGTATAAAATATTTATTAAATTATAGAGGCTTTTCAAATTCAATAACAGAAAGTTTATATCTACCATAAACTAACACACAGGTGACGCCAAACTGACCGAGGGCACCATCACCGGCCTGAAGAACCTCAAGAGGTCGGGCCCCTCAGACATCCAGACCAAGGATGCCTTCAAAGCGCACGTACAGTTCGGCGACAACAACCTCGCCATCCATTTCAAGGCGATCCTCGACTTCATGGACCTCCACACGGACGGCATCCTTAACGCCCAGGTGGGCAACCTGGACGTCAAGGTCGACGTTGCCATTGACTCGAAATCGGGCAAAATCACCATCAACTCGTTCGAAGTGGACAAACTGAAAAGTGTCAAGATCGATTTTCACGGACCCATCCCGGTGGCCGATGAGATTGTTGACTTAATTGGCGAGGCATTCATCACCATTTTCAACAAGCAAGCCGAGGAGTTGGTGGGTAAAGTGGTGAAGGACATTTTGGCCAAGGAGCTCGACCACATGAAATTCCCGCCCCAGTAACTAGTCCAGTTATTGTTTAAATATAAATTGTTTTTACTTGCTTAATAAAAATAGTCTTTTAAAAACAAATAAGTTTTTGTTTATTTATTATGTAAGATAGCATTATTTAAATAAATTAATTGTGTTTTTGTAATTAATGATGGAAATGTAAGATTATAATTATAATTATTTTTCTATTTCGTATTGATATGATTGTATTTTTGACATTCAATTTCGTGGTTATTGTGTATTGATCAAGGTACAATATTCAAGTACTGTAGTGCACTAGTAACTTTTCAAGTGCAGTATGAGACAATGTCAAGTATGATATAAATAAGGTGATATTTAATCTTAATAGGCTTATTTAATCTAATTGCATTGTTTGCCAAATAAAAATATTGTTCACTAAAAGTAATTGGTCAAAATTGAATAAGTTATTTAATTTATGAAGGGTAAAAATAAAAATATTTAGGATAGTATCAATTAGGTATTACTTATTTTATATAATGTTCAAAATATTTTTAAACCAAATTGGCAAAATTTTAATTTTATTTAATTATAAAATATTTTGACACAATATTTATTATATAATAAAAGCACATGAGTATAAAATTGTCAGTTACATTTTTAATCATCTATTTTATAAAATGCATGTAAGCAAGCCATCTGTATTATTTTTATAGCATCCTGTTCATTTTAAAAAGGATTTAATAGTTTCTAAAAAAATCCTGTTGTATGGGAATATTTAAATATATTTTTGATAATATTTTTAAAAATAAATATTTGGTTATTATTATAAGTTAAAGTTTTCATACAGGTATATTTATAAATTGTACTATTATTGTCAGTACAGTAATACTAATTGTACTAAACACAAATATTGGCTAGCTTTCTGTTTAAAATGATCTTGATCAACATGACAATCAGATCAGTATTACATAATAGTCGTTTTGTATAGGTTAACAGACCTTATAATTTAGCTATATCCAATACTAAATCTAAACTACGTCAATTTCATACCTTATAAACCTGTTTGTTTCTCACAAAATAAGTTTGATATCAAAGGGTAATCATAATTTCATAACTCAAATTCAAGTGGTCTATTATGAAATTGATTTATCTAGGTTCAAATTCCGTTTCATAAATTATGCTTCTAATAAATTTAAAAATTGCCACCTTATTAAAATAAACTATATTTTGTACGTAAAATCTTATTAATTTAATACCTCATACAATTATAATTATTGTTTGCACCGTACTTAAATGCTTACCTCATAAAGTCTTTATAGTTAACAGGGTATATAAGGAGCTAGTTCATAGACTGAAAGTCATCCACTTAATTTGGTTTACAACGTTAAGGTAACTAATATAGAAATTTATTAAACTGAATCTGCCTACTAAAATAAATTTTTTTTAATATTTTAAATCTATCATGCTTATATCTGACAGCTTTGGAACTAATCGAGAATGTTGTCGAAAATTGTTATCTTGGCCTTAGTCGCCGCGGCTCAGTGCCTGCCAAGTAATGACCCGGATCATGCTTATAATTTTACAACTAGGCTAATTCATATTGTTTATATTTTTAGTGAATGACGATGGTGCCGACAAATTAGTCGACCAATTGCTTGATGTTGTCAAGACCAAATACGGTGCCCAACTGGACCCACTTCACCTGAACGACTCAGTCGCTGAGTTCAGCAAGAAAATCGCTGGAATCACATTCCACGGTTAGTTGAATATTAGCTTGTTGAAACTTTCAAAAAAATATACTTGATAATTTAAAAACATATTTAGACAAAAATATATTGTTCATCTAGCTTTAAATATTAACATACAAATAAGTTAGGAATAGTCGTTGAACTATTGGTGTATAGGAGTAACAGTGTTAAGTATGCCTGGCACAAAACACTATATTAGGATAGCTATGCAGATAGAAATATACCCGGCATTTATATCTCTATAAAATAAATTACTCAAGTCAAAATAGCAAACTTGGTATCGTGTAAGATTATAACCTAAATACGTATAATGATCGTAAATTAACCAGGTGACGCCAAACTGACCGAGGGCACCATTACCGGCCTCAAGAACATTAAGAGATCGGGTCCCTCAGACATCCAGACCAAGGATGCCTTCAAAGCGCACGTCCAGTTCGGTGACAACAACCTCGCCATCCATTTCAAGGCTATCCTCGACTTCATGGACCTCCACACGTCCGGCATCCTGAACGCCCAGGTGGGCAACCTGGACGTCAAGGTCGACGTTGCCGTGGATACCAAGTCGGGCAAAATCACCATCAACTCGTTCCAAGTGGACGCCCTTAAAAGTGTCAAGATCGACTTCCAGGGACCCGTAAAGGTCGCTGATGATATTGTCGATTTGCTTGGTGAGGCATTCATCACCATTTTCAACAAGCAGGCCGAGGAGTTGGTTGGCAAAGTGGTGAAGGACATGCTCCAAAAGGAGCTTGATCACATGAAATTCCCACCCCAGTAAATGTAGTGAGCTGTGTATTAAAATATAAAATGTTTTTATTTGCTTAATAAATATTATCATTTAAAAACAAATACTGTGTTTATTTTATTTTAAATAAAGTTAACCTCGTTTAGTTTGGGTATGATTTAAGTGAAATTATTTATGATTAGTTAGCGCGATTAAACTGTAAAGTTTAATATTTAAATTGTTTGTAGTGAATAGTAAATGAATTTAATTTTTGTTTGGACGTAGGGTTAATAAACTATATTTCTTATTTTAATTATAATTTTTTTAAACATATTTTTTCAAATATAATTTTTAATTTAAGTCAAAGTAAAGTCAACTCAATCATTTAAGTTTCACATATAAAAATCAATAACAATTACACCTATAAATACAGAATTGAAGTGTAATTATATATATCAGTGGGACAATGTCAAGTATGTGATAAATAATATGAGACTTAATGGGTCCAGGTATAATCATTGTTTAATTGGTTTTAAAATGATTAGATTAAGCAGGATACAGACGTATATACAACAAAATAACGTATTATTTATAAACAAATATCGGTAATTTAAGTATTTAACTCAAGGCAATATAATTGTATATTATTTTCTAAATTAATTTAAATTTTAAATTAAAATTATCAATACGTATATATACTCTTAGAATTTTAATAAAATTAAGTTAAAATATAAACTAATTTAGATAAAAGGATCTTGATATCGCTTGTGATTTTTAATTTTAAAGCCACTAGGGAACTTTTTTAATTAGTATTTTATTTCATATTTAATGTATTTTCACTTAAATATTGAATATAATTTTATAATTTATCAGAGTAATATACGCCTTAATGTAGTATTGCTAACGAAAGTGGCATTGCTATTTTATAATATAATTTTTATTAGTAAACTATTTATATATTATATATTATTTTACTTATATTATAAAAATAACTTTTTATATTACCTTTCTACTTTATATTAGCATTATAAATTGCCAATAAAAAGTTGTTTAAATGTTAACATACAGTACAAGTAATATGTTACATTATATATTTAGCAATATTTTAAAAACAATATGAAAATGAGATAATAAGAAATTAGGTTAATTGATTTTATATTTTTAAAATTCTAATTAATTAAGTCAAGCTATTAATAATAAACTAACAACTTAATATAAAACTAATATCTTCATAAATATAAAAACAAATTAATTATATATTCTTGCAATAATAATATCACATTTATTACACAATATTAATTAGTTAATTGATATTTAATTAGTACAGATATGTAATTAAATATTAAATATGAACAGTAGTACAGTGGCACCATACAGAACAAACATAACAATTAATCTAAAAATTATAAAAAATAATAAAATAATTCAATCATTAAAACACAAATATATTTAATTAGAAAAAATATTATATGAATTGTAATATAATTCTGTAACACAAATACCGCATAATACTGCCCTAACTTTATAAGCTCACCAATGTAGATTAATGATATAATTTAAGAAATAATAATACAATGAGTGACAAAACCTGTAAAATATAATCATTAAGAAAAATATAACCAAATATAATTAGTATTATTATTAATTAAATAAAACTAATTAATATTATTTAATTATACAATACCTCATATCCCCTAAATGTATTTATAATAAATAGTTTCCAACAATAAAATCCAACCCTTTGTACACCAATTCTCTCCACAATAGTTGATAACTATTTCAATAAAAAATAAATTTTGAAACAAAATTTTGATGACAACAAAAATTAATACCTTGAGCATTATACATATAGGTATATAAGTATTGTTTGTATAAGATACGAGTGAATTTAATACAATATACGTTTTATTAGCTTCAATATAAAGTACCGAGGATATTTGTATAATAAATAATAACGCAGAAAAATACATTGGTATACCAAACAATGTTATGTAGAAAAATAAAATATCCTGATACTTTAATCCTAAATAGGCCAAGTAAGTTATAAGTAATATTAATGACCACCATACAATAAATAAAAATTTCGACCAATAATTATCATTATATTCATTGAGTTCCGCATAAATTGCATTCAAATGTCGCAAAATTTTATTAATAAAATCTCTCCTGTATAATTTATTACTAGACTTTAACCGGGAACGTCCTAGCTGATTGATTAGCATAATTTTACTTTTAATATATAGCGTGATGATAAAATAATATACAGTTTGGTATAGAAATTGATTTACGAAATAGTGTGCCCAGATGCCTTTGTGAATAATATGTGGTATACCAAATAATATGAATGTTATAATATCGGTATTATACCAAAATATAATAAATACATAACTCGATGCTGCAAGTATAATTCATTTAGCCATGATACTTGGCAAATGTATTAATTGTTTAGTAATTAGTGATAGTTTGCGGACTAATAAGCGATCGTTAATTCCGATACTTTTTGGTGATATAAAACCCGATAACATGTAAAATACTCGCAAATCCGTGGGTTTTATGCCATTCCTATAGTTATAATAGTTTAGTAATTGAAATAATAATGTCATCATGCTAATGACTCCGTCTATGCTAATATGAATATATCTGGTTGCCAAATAATAGTCAATATCACCAAGCAATGCGTGTTGAATATCTGAGATATTTATACGGTTTAGGTAGATATAAATTAGCACGATACATCTAATAAACTCTATTAAAGTAACAATTAATATCAACAATGGATTATAAAATAGACGTCTATTTGTTTCATAGTATTGAGTGTTAAATAGTGATAAACCTATGCGATAGGCGTGACTGTCAGCACCCCTTACCCGCCATTCCCGTGGTATGGGTTGAGACAAATCCATTGTTGACTTAATATTTAATATTTAGTATATATTTTTATATAATTTTTAAAGATAGTTAATGTTTTGTAAACTATTGTAAGTAGTCGTGTATGTTACACAACATAGCTCAATAATATATGATATTATATGGAACAAGGATCATTATTTTTATTATTTTAATAATTGTTAAATTACACTTACTGTATAATAAAATAGTAATTACCTAAATTATTCCATTAAAAATATTATTTTTTTCGACAAAACATTATTTATAAAACTTAAAAACATTATTAAAAACATTTTATTATACGACAATTATTATATTTAATGACATTTATATTTGACTAAATTAATAATAATAACTTATCCATTATAATAAAACATTTGACTAAATTAATAATATCAACTTATATATTATAATAATATTATATTTTAATTATACTAACTATAATATAATATTTCAAGTACATACTGGATATTTTACCTTAAATGATATTTATATAATAAAATGAATTTTATTTGTCATTACATTATTACATGCATTTGATAGAAATGACATTATTTATTTAAATATTTAATTTATCATAATTTTACACAAAAATGTTGACTTTTATCATAAATAATAGTCTTTCCAAAAGCCATCACAAGTTTTCTCAAATAAATTCTCTAATATAGTGTCGGTTTTGAGGGATTTATTTCTTTAACTCTGGGCACCGGACTCACAGCACCCGACCCTATAAGTCGGGCCACTTATAAGGCGTGCCATCCATTGGGTAACTACAGAAATAACGTATAAAATATGATTATCAAACACATTGTTATAAAATAAACCCAAACTTATTTAATTTGATTTCACTTATTGTTATTATAAATCAAATCAAATTAATTTTGATTATCAATTGATAATCAAAGTTATCTATTAAATAATTTTTAGTAATTAGGAAATGAGTTAAATTAAAAAAACAACGTTTACCGTATATTTCATATTTTTAATATAAAATTTAAACAATATTTTAAGTATAATTTAATGATACACCTTATGATTTAAGTTTTTATTATTACAAACTAACTTTAATAACAAATAAAGATAGAAAATATTGAATTAAAGTGTTATTATATTCAGTATTCATGGGACAATTTCAAGTACTGTACTTGATACAAAATATGAGACATAATGAGCTTAGATGTAATCTCAGTTTAATTAACTGTAAAAAGATTATATAAAACAAAATATTGACGTATTTATCAAAACTAAAAAATTTAAAGGAACTTATTGTCGCATATGATTTTTAATCTAAAAGTCACTAGGGAATTTTTATTAAATAAATTATGTTTAAATAATAAACGTATACTTTGATCGACTAGAATGTACAGTATAATATTAGATTTTTATTAATACAACAATGTTGAAATTATTATTTTACAACCTTATTGTAACTGTTTATAGTGTTTGTTCATTGGAGTGTGGTATGCTTATTAAAACTGTAAAATTATTATAGCAAATACATTTTTATTGTATTTTGTTAATTCATCAGGTTCACATGACAGGGCTGCTGATAATAAGTTAGTGGATCAATTACTGGCTATTGTAGTGGCCAAGTACGGAGCTGAGCTGGATCCATTACACTTAAATGACACCGTGGCCACTTATGATAGGCAACTTAGTCACATTACAGTACACGGTAATATTAGTTAAGCAATAAAATGTAAATATTTTTATATAAGCTGTACATATAAATTTAAAAATTTTTAATTTAATTTTAAATTCATAAATGTTTTAAAGTCGGGGGAAGGAACTAATGGCATTTTACTTTTATTGTTTTAAAATAACCTAGGTGAAGCAAAATTAAGCGAGGGCATAATAACGGGACTAAAAACATTACGACGATCCGGTGACAGTACCCTGGACATTGAGCAAGGTCAGATCAACTTGCAATTCGGCGACACTGGGCTACATGTGCAGTATAAATGCGACCTAGATGTTATGGGCATAAAGACATCGGGCATATTAGGGGCAGATGTGGGCGACATAGGGGTTGTTGTTAATGTCGAGGCCGACAGCACCGGTAGGTTTCAT